AGTCAAGTGTTCTCAACGGTCTTCAACATGTCGCGGCTTAAGTTATGAGAGGTCGCGACAATCCAGGGGAATACCAGAAGAAGAATTTGTATGACGTCATTATTTCTACCGTCTTTACGGCAGCCGCTTCAGTAGCAAGCTGTTGACATGTGAAGAATAGGATATAGCATTGAAATACTATATATAGGTGGAGACATGACACCTCTGACGTCACCCATAAGTACTACAAGGTTTACCACAAACAGGCAGAAAAAGATTCTAATATCGTATACAACACTTTCTTTGTAGTAAAGGTTTACCATTATTAGATAAATTTAATACAACAAACAGGCAGAAAAAGATTCTAATATCGTATACAACACTTTCTTTGTAAAATTGAAGAGTTTATAAACGGTAATGTTTTTGTAGAAGAAAATGTAACTTAAAATTGACAATATATGATTGCACAAAGATTAAGCGCGTAGCGGTTTTTATATCGATTGTCTTATGCCTAATCCTTGTTAATGTATACTTGAATAACGTTTATTTAATAATAATAATAATATCATCGTTGCGTGCATTTTAAGAAACAAGCAATTTTTTTATTCTTATTATAATAAGAAATTATCTATAGAACACCAGCTATTAATATAATCTAACAACATTTATGTTAAACTGTGTTTTTTGTTATTTATATAACAACTAGCTGTGCCCGCGGTTTCACCCGCATGAAATTTATAGCCTATATGTAATTCTGATGTATAAGCTATGTTACTGTAAAGTTTCATCAAAATCCGTTCAGTAGTTTTTGCGTGGAAGAGTAACAAACAACCATCCATAGTCACAAACTTTCGCGTTTATTATTAATAATATTACTGTCCGCTGCCGCCCATGACATCTATCGCTGACGCTTTCGAATTACAACCATCTAAATCAAAGAGTGTGCCCGCTCTTAAACTTGTGGGAGTAAATGTTAGTCTTCAATTTGTCGTGTTTTCTTTGTCTCTAGTTACAGAGCCGCGCAGTGAGACTCTTTGAATAAGAAATGACTTTAAATCGCAAGATCAAGGAAAATTACTCTACGATAAGGAAAATGTGTTAAAAAAATATGTAACAGTATGTGTACAGTATCCGTAGGAGTAAATGTAAATTTTACTGTTCACTGCTCAGAAAATACATAAAAGTATTTATCTACTTTAGTATACATTTAAATAACAGTCATTGTTAATTGTCAATGAATTAGGCTGATTTAAAATATACTATTTTGTTTTTAATTTCACGACAATTAATATAGCATTATCTAGTCCCAAGATAAGTAGGGCTTATGTTATGAGTACTAGACAACTGATATAAATACATAGATACATATTTTTATGTAAATACATGCGTGTTATGCATAGAAAAATGAGCACAAGCAAATTTTTTATGTGGGTGTTTAAGCAAGCTGCCTGCCCTCTTCTTTGTCCAACCCATGTTCCCAGTTTATCTAGGGTCGGGACTCCCTGTACATCTGCGCCAGAGAACTCTGTTCTGGGTTGTCTGTATATTAAGGTTGTCCTGGTCCATCTGCTTCTTAATATTATTCCACCAAGTAGCGCGTGGCCCGCCTCTACCTCTGGTCGAGTTTGTATATTGAGCACTTTTTTAACCACGTAGTCGTCTTCGCGTCTTTGAATATGTCTTGTCATACCAGCGTAAGCGACTTTCTCTTACTTTTTCCACGATAGAACCTACTCTGAAGGAACCTCTAATGTAGTAAGCTGACTGACCAAATAATAAAAAAAAATAAGATCCGCTTGCCTATGTACATATACATGAACAGCATCACAGACATCACGTTATCCTATGACACTTGTGGTACCTCTCTTACCATGTCATTCCTGAGGATTAAGTCATGCCTCATTTTATTCTATGATCAATCGCAGTGATGGTTCATATCATATCCGTCATACTCGTGAACGAGTGCTACTTGCAGGGACTGGTTTGATCTAATCATTATAACTGATTTCATTTTATTATACATTTAATATTTTGACTCTATTAAATTAGTGCTAGTTGGTAGGTTGTAAAGTTACACACATTTCAAAAAACAAAAAACTTCTTGTAATGAGACAGCTTTCCGAATGAGCGGTAGATTAAAAAATAACTATTCAAAAGTACTTAAGTTTAAGTTTATTTTAATAAAGGAGTAAAACTATTCTATTCCATCTTTACTCTTAATTTCAATCCAAAATTGTCATATGTTTGATCTGTCCAAACTATAATAAGAATCACTAGCAGTTTTATATATTCGTTGTACTTACTTATACATATTCTTACTTCTTCAGGGATAACAATCCCAATAGTGCCCGTTAGTAACAAATAATTGGGACTATTGATCCATTACTAGTAATGAACTATGTCAGGTTAACATCTATACGATCCTGGAAACAATAGTTGTTAATTCCTTATGAATTCGTCACATATAAGTACATACACATATAGTATATTCGTCATATACTAACTGACCTGACCTAATAGTCGTCTTCTTGTATATATATATATATATATATATATATATATATATGTATGCACACATACACACACACACTCGTATATATATCTGTAATTTTTATTATTGTATTCTTTCTTTTTTTTTATCATATATTACTAGTATTAATATTATATAAACACTAAATTATTATATACTCTCTGATCGCCGTACCAATGTAACTGTCAAGCCTGCTTTGATTTCCAGGATACAGGCATACCCTAGTGTGGGGTCATAGTTACAATGTTACTTAAGTTAAATTTTATGACATAAATGTTATTCTATTCTTTTCTATTCATATCTTGTATATATATTTATATACATAGCGCATTCAAACCCGTAATCATCCCTAAAAACTCACTTCTGTGTCACTTTGCTTTACCTTAATAACTGTCATAAAACTCTTTTTCTTGTTTCAACTTGCAAATTGACACACACTTTCAAAGCAAGATAGAAGTCGGAAATAGACACGACCGTGCCCACGCAGATATCTTTGTGCAAAATGTCGGTATAAATAATACGAATAATTATTCAAACTATAATTAGAAATTTAATCTAATTGTATTGTTTCGATATCAAAGAGAGGTTATTGATAAATTAAGATTTATTAGACCTTCAAGGAACGTTTAATCAATGGTTCCTTTGAAGTATTTAGTGTAAGGGACAAAATAGTTGACATCCCAATTGGTCCTTATTTTAGTATCTATCAACTTAATATTAATTTATGGGATATCAGAAGGAAGAACTAAAGCAGTATGCACCTGGACAAGACCTGGACAAAATGCGCCATGGATAAAGCAAAGTGGAAAATTATGCAAGAGGCATATGTTCAGCAGTGGACTAATAGGCGCTGAAAGAGAAGAGACAGAGTTGTACTATCACGAATAGATTTAAATTGGAGTTGCAGATGTTGATGCATAAACAAATGGAGCAAGCAAGTAACTCTATAGTATCTAGACACGGGATCAGAAGACAGGAATGCCAAAGAAAACGTTGCAAATACATCAACCTGACTCTTTAGCCGCTCTGGTATAGGGTTGCGGAAGACGAATACTCGGAGTGGCGGAGATGTAGAGGCATCTAAAACTCCTGGAGGAGAGTGTTCTGTGGAGTTTGGGTGCGGAGTGGTGCCCGCGCTCACACTAAATCATCCGATTACGAGCGATACTGTGGGATTATAGTATCCACTCTCACCCCTTCATAATGGCGAGTGGTTTCTGTATAAATATTTCCCCTCATTAAAAAAAAGAGGTGCGGAAGACAGAGGTCAATAGAGAGAGCTGGAGTATGCCAAAAACACACACAGTTATGGGACATATTGTAAAGTACAGTGTGTGCCCCAACCTTGAAAAATACAGGCTTTATTATTATTATTAAACTACATTAATCTTGCGAATTTGTTCCAGAAAAAGTATTTAAAATTAATATTACAAAGAGAAAATATTTACGAGTTTGGATGTTCGGGATAATCTCCAGTATTACTAATCTGATTTTTAAAATATTTTTAGTATTTTATAGCCTATTTATCGAGGAATATTATATCCTATTCAACATCATTGAATAAGTGGAAAATATACGACCTGCATATTATTTGCATTGATAATATTGATATGTATATATCTAAAATCTTCATTAATGTAAAAATATGTTGTCTGTCTATTTGTTTGTTCTTGCTAATCTCTGAAACAGTTATACCGGCTTTGACTGGACTTCACTGGCATACACTAACACTGAATAGCTAACTTTATAAGGAGTAAACTAGGCTGCTTTTATTTTAGAAATTTTACTTATTTTAATAAAATAACATTATTTAATTCCACGTGGACGAAGGCGCGAGTAATAGCTAGTTATATAATAAATTAATTGAAGATAATAACTACCATGGTAACATTTCTAAACGTTAACCGGGAAAATACGTAGAAATCAAAATGAGCGTATATTCAAATATTGTAAAGAGATTTAGTTATGAGGAAAGGAAGCTGTGTAACCACTGTATTGATTTAAGATATTCTTTCACTGTTTGAACGGTATATTATACCAGAATGATATAGAATATATATTATATTAATATATACGACACTCGCACAGTTATATGTACTTTTTCGAAATTGATCACCAGTGGTATAAGAAAAATATAATGTAACCAACTGTCCCGGCAAACGTTGTTTTGCCATATAAATGAATAATGAAAAATAGGCGTTGGTGATAGAAGGGTGAAAATTTAGGGTTGAATGTATTTTTTAATGACGCAATAAAAAAATATAAATAAGAAAAGTTGCCCAAAAAATAAAAAAATAATTTTAAGGGTGGACAATCCTAATCACTTAGGGGTATGCAAAATAGATAGTAGCCGATTCTCAGACCTACAGAATATGCATATAAAATTTCATAAATCGGGCAAGCCGTTTCAGAGGAGTATGGTAACTAACATTGTGACACGAGAATTTTATGTATAAGATTTTATTAAAAATTACATAACTGTTCTCTCGTTTCAGGTATCGACATCGTAAAGTAAATACTGAACAACGAAATGTAAGTATTTATTATTTATTGAGTATTTCTCTGCTCTCCTGTCATATCCATTGAACAGCATACTGCGGGTGACAGCTCTGCAAATTTTAATGTTATACGTTCTTTATGGTAACTGTCAACATATTAAAATCGTAAATAATTTACAAAAGCTTCATATTTCCTATAAAATACATTAATTGAGAGAGTCATACTCGGTTTAATATTATTTTAATGGATGACAATGGAACGGTGCACTCGTCTGCGCTAACGGCATACGCTGGGGCATCAGTGGAGGATGATAAGATGAGAATGAGGTCAGGTCAGTTAGCCCATCCGTGATGGACTGAATGGTTTCATGGAACCGCGTGAAAGTCTGCCTGATATGGTACAATACTAGCAATGGGGTCCTATTGCCCTTTAGTAATAATCCCTTTCTCCTGGCTTAGTGGTTTACTACATCTTCGATCGGTACGTGATTCAAATCTCGCCAACATCACTGCTTTAGTGATGTTTACTTTGCTTTATTTATAGTTTTATTCAGTCAGGAACATAATTTTATAAAGACTAACTTTCCGGTGATAGAAACACTGGTAACAAAGTAAATTAATCCTAAAGGCCACGTTGGATTCAAAGATAAGCCGTTAACATTGTGGTGAACGTAACACTTGACATGTCCACTTCTCGGCAGGTATATTTGAATATAACGTTGCAAGAGACGTGACTACGACCGTTATTTTGTTCTATATAATAATTCTACTTTTCTATATATAAACATCTTGTAATCAAATCAAATCAAGACTAGAAAAAGGGGAGATATGGAGCGTAAAAACACAAGTATGTATCTCTGAAAATGCTTCAAGATAAGTGTTGGTACACGAGTCATGTTCTCGAGAAGAGGACGCTTGATTAATACCTAGGGACTGGAGAACTTCCCTTCACATAGTCACTTACTGAAAATCCATGGATATGGTATTCATTTTCAGTGATGATACAAGTTTCTCTCAGAATTATGCGATTGTAAATTAAGTAATTATTCATATTAGAGTCCATATTAACATAATAAATGTGTATCTGTCTGTTTATTTACCTTTTCACAACGAAATCCATGAATGGATCTTAATGAAAATCTTAATGATATGGGATATATGGTATTTTTAATGGATGATAATAGAATGGTGCACCCGCCTGCGCCTACGATTTAAGCTAGCGGGACACCAGTGGTGGATGGTAACATGAACAGTTAGCTCATTGGGACAAATACACCAGGAACTTATCACGTTGGTTTCCAGGGGTGCGTGGAGATCAACCTGACATGGTACTAGCAATGGGTTCATTAGTCCACAATAGTAGCAACCCCTTTTCCCCCCTTACGATTATAGCTATATTTTATCTCAAATAATAAAATTGTGAAGATGGAAGCTTGTGTAGACGAATTCGCGGGTAAGTGCTAGTATTATTCAAGTAATTATTAAAGTAATTTAATTTATGTACTTTTGAATATAATAAGTTGTTTATGATTACTCTTAAAATGTTTTGCATCGAATCTATCTATTTATCAGCTACTGTAGAGTCACGTAAAATTATTGAGCATTTATTTTTTACTTACAATTACAAATTTAGATTTTTTTTTAGAAGATAAACTACTAAATTGAAAATTTGTGAGTTTAAATAAAAATGATAAACATAACATTACCGTAAAAATTGTTACAGAGTATCTTAGATCTTAGGGGTGTCTTTATATTTAAGGGGCGTAACTACCGCCGTCTCTCGGATTACAGACGGATAGAAATTTTATGTCAGTAACAGTACACAGCACGGGTATACATTTATTATACATATAAACCTTCCTCTTGAATCACTCTATCTATTAATAAAAACCGTTCAAAATCCGTTGCGTAGTTTTAAAGATTTAAGCATACATAGGGACAGACGGCGACAGTGACTTTTTTTATACTATGTAGTGATAACAACATTTTTAATGAATAAATGTATTTCATATTCTATGTATTACAGGCAACGATGCTCTCTTACACATCGAATATTTTTTATCAACAGTACACAGTGATAATATTAACCACTGGTGTCAAACTACAATAGTTAACTCTGATACTAATAAAGTGTTAAATGTATATACTTCATATTTATATCTAAATTACACAAACACCTTTTCTAGAACTAGTGAAATTCCTGGTATTGCTATAATATTATTCCTATACCACCTATGTACCTGACTTTCAGTGTAGATTTATTTAAATTTATAATTGTATGTATATTTGTACATATATGTTATATATATATTTATTAGTTAGTAATTATATTTATAAATATAAGCATGATCGCATATATGTGTTTAATAACATTCAAAATTATCTTTCTTTTAATGTGTTTAAATATAGATAATACACTGCCTATTAGAATATCTGTTTGACTAATACTTGTCTAAGAGAAAAAGAATGTGTCAAGTTCACCATATATACCTTTATTTAAATATTTGTGCATTAAAGATTTAATAAATATATGTATTGTATTAACAATTCCGATATACCGCATCTATAAAATAACTAATCAAGTCTCGTCTGACGCCAGTCACTCAACGAAGACGCATCCAAACTAACTGCCGGCTTTATTAGCCCGCTCCTCTACACTCTCCTCTCCCGCCCGTCACTTTATTGTATAATAAAAATATAATGCGCAAAAGATACTTTATGAAGGTTCAACGAGAGCTTTCAATTTTCGCCGCGTCTTTTTTTTTATGTAGCGAAAATGACAAACAATCTGATGGTCAGGAAGAGTAGTTGGTACATCTTATATATAAAATTCTCGTGTCACAGTTTTCGTTCCCATACTCCTCCGAAACGGGTTGACCGATTCTCTTGAAATTTTGTAAGCGTATTGAGTAGGTCTGAGAATCGGCCAACATCTATTTTTCATCCCCCTAAATGTTAGGGGTAGTCCACCCCTAATTTTTTTTTTAATTTTACGGTAAATCCACGTTTGCTGGGACAGCTAGTAATTATATATTATTGTTATTATGTATACACCAGGCACTACAAATATAATGTGACACCGCGCCTCCATCTCCCAAAATACAAGTCAAACCTACTTAGGGGACTACTAATAACACAAATGAGTACGTATAATTAATAAAAATCACGGGATTTTACCTGTTCTCTTGATCATGGCGGTTGAAACACTGCCGAACTGTCGGTAACGCAATAAAAAATAAAAATCCCTTAATATTGACTAAAAAATCTATATATTAATTACTAGCTATTCGCCCCGGCTTCGCACGAGTGTACAAGTTTTATATATATGTATATATATATAAACCTTCCTCTTGAATCACTGTATCTATTAAAAAGCTTCAAAATCCGTTGCGTAGTTTTAAAGATTTAATATTATGCATACATAGGGACGGACAGACAGCGACAGCGACTTTCTTTTATACTATATAATGATGATAAATAAATAATACCTCAAGCGCTACTATTCCAAGGAGTAATATATCATGCGTCCATATCCTGTAATTTCACTAGCATATCTCACCATCATAGACGTAGCGGAAAATAGGATGCAAAGAAAGTTTCTTGGCGGCTGATATAGATGAATGTATAGTGGATACTTTAGTACGTTTAGTACTTTAAAAAAATATATTAATATCAGAAAATACTTGAAAAGATTACTTTCAGCAATAAGGCTGCCTAATTGTAACGATACATGTGTCATTTAATATATTGTTTATGCTTTTCTTTACAGTATGTTGCAAATAAAGTATATTATATCTATCTAAAGTATTATAATATCTATACTGTTAGAGTTTGTTGAGATATATGGATGAATGTTGCTGTTTCATGTAAAAACTGCTCAACTAATTTTGATGAAACTTTACAGTATTATAGGTTATACATCAGAACAATACGGGCTATAATATAAAGAGATATTATGTAATTTCGGCGAAATATAATAATATATATTAAGTAAGTGGAATACAGAAGAAGTTACGCGGGATAAACTACCTTATAGTTTATGTTATCTTCAAAAACCGTAAACCACACCTAATAATACAGTAAATAGTATTTGTTACAACATTAAACTACTTACATTGTTTACACTTCATTTATCTGCTTCGAAAAGAAGTTTATATTGAACAGGTGAAAACTGGATTTTATGAGTAATAATATTGTTCTCAGAACAACACCATGATATAAACATAGGACGTGAGTGTTGTGGTAAATTCATTCGATTAACTCGGTCTGAAATGTGAGTTTATCGTATTCTTTTTGATGATTTTAATCGATTTTGTATATCATCATGTGTTTTGTATATCATCTAATTTTCTTTTGTCGACAATGATTTAGTGTTTTTATTATCATGCAACACTACTCTTTGTAATTTTTTATTATGATTACCTTGAATTTATTACATTACTGTAATTTAATACCATAGAGTAAATGGTTTATATTAAATTAATTATTTAAACTTAACGTAATGTTCCAGTTAATTATTATTTATGTAACTTGAATTAAAGTCATCGCAACCTATACAGTCGTAAATGACATGTTTTAGACTGTACTAAAACTTAACATATTGTTCATTAAATAGCATATAGTAAGCAGTAAATTACAGATTAATATCGTTTCTGTTATTATCATAAATAAAACTGTTTCGTTTGTTTTAATTTATGCATTTATACTTGACATATTGTTCAAGAGAATTATTATTTAAATAAAATAAATAAACATCCATCAATATTCATCCCAACATGCATGTTGGGAGTCACAATTTATTTTATTAGACATGTTTTACTCTAAAACTATACAAATCAGTAACACTGTTGATAATATATTCAATTTTTTAAACTTAACATATTGTTCAAGTTAAGTAATTATTTAAATAAGATAAATAAAACTTATATTCCAGTACGTATTCACAGATGATATATTTTTAAACAATATATAAAACTGTACAAAAAATAAAAATCAATATCACTCTCCGCTTTAATGTACCATACATTACATAAT